TTACCTTTTTTTTTTTTTTTTTTTTTTTTTTTTTTTAATAAAAGTATTATTTTCGTTTTTTTTTTTTTTTTTTTTTTTTTTTTTTTTTCTCCCTCCCATATACTAACGGAAACCGTAGAATTTTAAAAAAGAAAAATTTTTAATTTGATTTGTTTTTTTTTTTTTTATTGGGTTGTTTAATAATGTACGGGTTTGTAAGAATTTGTTAAACGAAAATTAAATATGGTGGATATTTTGGAACATTAACTGAAATTTGGAGTCCTAACAGTTGAAGTTTGTTTACTGTAACCACTGAAAAAAAATAGCTGTAAGTGTCTAAATTTTAAAGTAAATAAAAATCGTAAAAAATTTTTTGTTAGTGGTTTTATTTTCGTAGTATGGAACAAAATCAGGTAAGTGATGAAGAATTATTAAAAAGAATAAACAAAGTTTTAAACGAATCAAAACAGGAGAGGAAGCAGCAAACCGTTGATGCCAACAAATTGGACGACACCGCAAGCGAAAAATTTCTAGACGTTTACGAAACAACAGAAGAAAGTTATAAAAGAAATTCGGAATCCGGTGAATTACGAGATATTGGCTCGGAAAAAAATTTAGCACTTGAAAATCATTTCCTTTCGTTACAACTACAGGCGGAAAAGAAAAAAGCTAAAGAACTTCAATCTAAATTTAATTTGCTTGAAAATTCCGTTAAATATTTTGAACGTTTAAACGGTCAGTTGGAAAATATTAAAAAAGCCGTAGACAACGATTTTACAGACAGTGAAAAAATTGAACTTGATGTACAATATACATTAGAAGCCATGCAAAAAATTCGTCCGAAAACGGTCTATACAAACATGAGCGGAATGTCTGCAAAACCACAAAACAACAACAACAACAACACTCCGGATGTTTATACCGATTCTCTTCCATCCGAAGATCAGTTAAACAATCAAAAAGAAATAGAAGATAAGGAAGAAGTTTCGTTCAGAGATGCCGAAGATTTTAAACTTCTCGAACAGGGTTTGGAAATCGTTAAGGATAAAAAAAATGAATACGATACGGAAGCTGAAAAAGTATTTATAACTAAAAATGAAAAAAGGTGTTTGGAAGACATAGGTAATTTAGCTTCGAGAACGAGAACTCCGTTGGATGACAAACATCAAAGGTTTTTTGAAAAAGACAGGCGGAAATTTGCACACAGCATCGTCATGCCTCAAATACAGGAAATAGAAAAAGCGGAAAGCGTGCCGCCGGAAATAATATCGAAAACAAACGAAACTCCTATAAATATAACAAGCACGGAATTAGATGGTCTTAGATCTTATTTACTACAGCTTAAAGAACTAATAGCCAGAAGGGAAACTGCGTGGGCGAGAACGACGGAAAGAGATTATAATCAAAGAGTGGAAATAACCAGGTTTAAAAATGAAGTGGGTCGTTTGAGAATGTTATGCGAGAAAAGGCAAAGAGACATAAAAGACAGAGATCAATTGATAGCTAGTAAAGACGAAGAGATAAAAGAATTACAAAAGCGAATACAAGGACTCAGAAGCGCCATTTTAAAATTAGAAAAAAAAGATGAAAGGCTCATGGATGCGATTGACGGAGTCGTGACAAACGAAGTTTTGGAAAATTCACAAATAGTTCAAAGGTCGTACAACGCGATGAAAAGGCAATCGTTCGTGAATAGAACAAATGGATCGAGTAATTTAAGCATGCCGCATTTAAAACCGAATCCTCCGGTATCATCACCGATTCCGTCCAAGCCATCATCGAAGAGTAGAGATTCGATATCGAGAAAATTAAAAAACGTTAGTGAAAAACACGTGGTACAAAAAAAGGGTAAAATTATGGAAATGGTATCATCGTCGAACGACGAAGACTGGAAAACGACGAAGCAAAAAAGTATGATTAAAGAAAAGCCTAAATCGAGGCACAAAATGGATTTTAACGTGTTACAAAAATCAACGAAAGATCATTACGATAAAGTCGGGGAAAATTTACAAAAAGTCGAAGAAATGATACACAACGACGTGTTAAAAGAAGCAAGGAAAACAATGGCATCCGGTGGTAAATCGAACAAAGGTCATGCGGATATAAAAACTTATTTAAAAACTCACCATGTTGATAAAAATTCAAATGAAATTCCGTTGCATTCGAAAAAATTAACTTCCTCCAATAGTACGATAAGACAAGAAATGTTATCTGCGATGACTGGATTAAATATTAATTCGAGTGGACCTTTACGTAATTGTAATTTTTCCGATCATAAAAAAAATCACACGACAGCTACCGTCATAGCAAACGCGTTATTAGCTGCAAGAAATGCCAATATGTTTAATTATTAGTTTATTATTATTATTTACTTTTTAATTAATGACAAAATTTTTATTATTATTTATTTTTTTTCCCCCCCACGACCCTCACGACCCCGCGAGCATGCATACATAAAACGAAAAAGAAAGAAAAAAAAATAAAATAAAAAACCCCGTTAAAATTTCAGTGAAATCCATTTACACTTATTTATTATTATTATGTATATATACTTATATATGCATAATTATTATTATTATTATTATTATTTTTTTTTTTTTTTTTTTGAATAAATTTATTTTGATAAATTTATTTTTATTTTGTGTATAATAATGTATATTTTATACATATATAAATATATTTATATATATTAATAAATATATATATGATGTTTTAATTTATTTAATATCACAAAGTAATGCAACACCTCTTAATGTCCAATGGCGTGGATTTGTATCCGTTTCAAAATCGATTGACCCAACGTATTTTTGATCCGTTCTCTGTGGTTTTCTATATATCGGACACTCGTAAACTCTGCATTCTTTTCCCGCCGTACTGCTAATTGCATAAATATATATAACGGGCATCGGTTCGTAAAGGACCTTAAAGAAATTATTATTATTATTAAACATATTATTGTTATTATTGTTGAGAAAATAGTTACGAAATTTACTTTCGGTCGGCTTTCGATTAATTTTCCAGTTTTACGATCCAAAGCAGCTCCTTCTAAGAATAAACCGTAAACGTAAACTCCTTCCGGTGGCGAATCGTGTAAATCTTCTTTGTTGTGTTTCGTTACGAGATTTTGTAGGACGACGGAATCCAATGCCCAACCCTTGTGAGCACGCGTCACTTCCTGTCATTTTTGTAATTTTATTAATTAATCCACCGGAAGTGAGAATATTTTATTTTTTATTTTTAAAGCAAGTGCGTGCGGCATGTTTTTATCGTTTAAAGTGCGTATTCGTGCGTAATACCTGTCTCATGGCAGTTAAAAATCCTTGCGGATTAAAAAAGCCAGTCATCCAAAATGAATATGGACGGCCATTGTTACACCAGCGTCTGAACTGGGCGTCTCTTTCTAATAATTCAGTGTACCAAAATCCGAGCGTGGCAGATTCCCAAGATATCTGTCAATTTTATCAAAAGGAACCTTTCTTTAAACAAAAAAACAAATATGGTGGAAAGATGAAAAGTCATATTTTTATCATCTTTCCATTTACAAATGCATTCTGTCATTTTGTTTGTCGTGGTATTAAAATGACAATTTTGCGTGATCTTAAAAAAAAAAAAAAAAAAAAACAAATCTAAGTGCTAAAATACAGCATTCCGAACGACAGCAGAAACAACATCGACAACAACAACAGCAACAACAGTAAAACATTTGTTTGTTTGTTTCAACCTGTCGCATGGCAGTTAAAAACCCAGGGATATTGAAAAACCCGCCTAACCAAAAAATTTTCGGTCTCGCACTTTTATTGCACCAACGTGTGAATTGACAATTTCTTTCCAAAAGTTCACTAAACCAAAAACCTAAAGTACTCGAATCCCAAGAAACCTACGTAAATATTCAATTAAAAAAAAAAGTAATAATAATAATAATAATAATAATAATAATAACGATCCGGAGTGTTCGATTTACCTTAAGCCAACGACCGGGTATTCTGGCATCGTACATCGCATCCAAAGCTAACCTTAACGATTGACTCATAACGATTGTACCATCGATGGCAAGTTTTAAATCGCAAAGCGTTGTCCTTACTTCAATTAATACTTTTTGCATTCTATCGATTTCCTGACGTAAAAATATATTCATCGGTAATAAGGCTCCCATTTTTTGTAAAGCTTCTTTTACCTGTGACGTAACGCAAAAAAAAAAAAAAAAAATTTAAAATTTTTCCTTTTATTAATTACGTAATTTCTTTTTTCCGGGGGGAGAGGGCAAAGGGGGGGGAGGTTAACCTCGTAATTATTGTACTGAATGGGTAATTTTTCCAACATGTCATCACACAATTTATAAACTGTATTTTCTCGTGTTTCTCCTCCCGACGAACCTCCTTCTTTAGGTTGAACATTTAATATTGTATCCAATATGCAACTCGCCGTGTTGATTTGATACCTTAAAACATTTTCATAAAAATGTAAGAAGAATTACTTTTCGTATGTGTAAAAAAACAAACACTTAATCATTTTAATATTTACGTTATGTCTGCATTGCTGTGAAGACCGAATACTTCCGGACTGTCGGTCAAAGGTAAATTATTTATGTAGTCAACGTAAACATTTAAATTTCGAGTTATGGGAACTTTGTAATTTTTATAAAATTCAAATCCGGGACGAAGAAGAACGTCGCAAAACCAAACGTGAGTAAACGTTGTTAAAAGACGTTTGTCGTAATCGTCGGTTACTCGACCACCATATTGAACTTCGCCGAGCATGTAACATACGGTCGGCCAAGAAATTCCCTTAAATTAAAAAATGATTTTTTTTTTTTTAGATTCATTTGAAATTGTTAAAAGAAGAAAATATTTATTTACTTTTTTAGGATCCATGTCGTCTAAATGATTTTGTATAAATTGTACACTCGCAGCAAAATCGGCTTGATTGAATTCGTAGGGTATGTTCCAACCGAGCGGACCAAATTTTTTTCTCTCTTGAACCACGGTGTGTAAAAATGCAACAGCGTAAAGCAAAGGTGGCCATTGGGGTTGAGACGAATAATCTAACGTATCCTAAACGTAAAAGTGTACGTTCGTAATACACGTTCGCGTCAGAATTTAAAATACCTTTCATTTACCTGCGTTATATTTTGATAAGTTCTTTTTAAACTTGCACGTATTCCTTGAGGTGGTTCGTTAGTGAACTTTATCGCCATTTGTAACAAACCGATCGGAAACTGAGTATGAACTTCTGTTGTCATCCACAATCGAAATGTTTCGTGTATGACTTCAGTTTCTACTAAAGCATCCATAGCTTCGTTGCAAAATGGTAAGGATAAATGAATATTTTGTAAAAGAACCCAACCACCGCTGGTCATACAATCAAAAATAAGACGTCTCGCATGTAGTTCTTGACCTTGACCCATAGAAACGCAACGAACGGCTAATAAAAGAAAAACCACAAAAAAAAAATTATTTGAAATATAATTATTAATTACGTTAATAATGTAAAAAGTTACTACTTACGAACTTCTTTGACTTTTGATAAATTGATTATTTGAGGAGAAGGATCCGAACCGATTGATAATATGCAAACCAATGGCGTCCGAGGCTCGGATTCAGACCAAGTTGCTTCCAAATTAAGAATGCAAGCTTCTGCATATCTTTTCCCAAGTGATTCTAACATATGAAAAAAAAAAAATTCTCAACACCTGATAATTATTAGGTGAATACTAAAATCCTACCACTTATATATCTTCGCGCTTGAGAAAGTGTTCGGTCTGGACTCCACGAACGAATCAAAAGTAATTTTCTGAAAACGTCCAAGGATTTTTGATAACCGCATGGTATATCTTCCTCTTCCGGTTTTTCTTTTTCATACCAATTTAACCATTCTTTTTCGCTGTTTTCTATCTGCGGAAATAAATGGCATAAATTTATTATTTAATTTTTTTTAAAATAAAAAAAAAAATATGGATAGAAAACTAACTTTTATGAGTACGTCGTTGAAAACTTTTAATTTACTTATTTCTACAAGATTTAACCAAGTTATATCTAATATCCATTTGAAAGGTTTCGGTTGAACTGCATTTAAATCCAACGAAGCACCGCCTTTTATAAATGTTAAAAATTCTTCGTGAGTTATTAAACCTTTTTGAACGTCAATTTTCATGGCTAACATGAGCGTAAATAATAATTTATGACGTTCGTAAAGGCTTCTCAATGTGAACGTCCAAACTTCGTGTGTTAAATATTGCAATATAATATCGATCCTTTCTTCCGTAACTTGAGATTTTGTGGATCTACCAAAAGCGCATTTTAATTTTAAAATCCGAGTTTAATAAAAAATTGAGGGAAATGATATTAATCCTTACTTCGTGATTGAATTGTCGAAAAGGTTTAAGAATTGTTTCAACGAATTTTGATACATGACGTTTACGTAACTCATTTCGACAATTAAAAAATAAAGGACGGAACCTCTGGCAGCGACAGCACGAAATTCTTCTCTCGCAATTGTAATTTTTTTCTCCGTCGATGCAGCAACTTTTAATTTTTGATTAACTTCTTCTGCTGTACTTTTTGTCTCTTGTAAAACTTGAATAAGAGTTTCGTCGTCGACAAAGGATGTCTGTTGGGAAAAAAAAAATTAATTTTTGTTTGTATTGATAAAATACGAAAATTCATTATTTTTAATAGAAAGATAGTTTTACTTCAGTTGACGTAAGCCTGCATAGAAGATTGCTTTCTAATTCTTTCATTGTTTTTTGATTTTTCATCACAGATTCGAAGAGTTGAACTCTTTCCGCTTCGAGATCGGATTTTTCCATTAGAATAACTCTACCGAGCAATTGATCTTCTAAACCTTGCATCGTAACCGTAAAATCAATTATTGAAGTTTTTGCACTGATTTCGGGCGAATACGCTGGATTTGGTAGTTTTGTCGTGATGTAAAGCATAAATCCAGGCATTACGTCACACTCTTTGTCTCCAACGACTACTTTTTCAATCGAACCCGATTTAATAAAATTTTTCTCGAGAACGTTATCAATAACCGGATCGAGCTCTTCTCCGACATCTTCGATAAGAAGAGGTCGTCCTAATGATAAACTATCCTCTAAATGAGTACGGAAATATTTGTGGTTTAAAGACGTTATCTAAAATTTAAATAAAAAACGAAACCTGATAAAAGGTTGGTCTGTACAAATATCTTGATGATAATTTCAAATTTAATTTTACCTGCAATTCGTTTTCTGCTTCTTTATTTTTAATCCACATTTTACCTTGACTTTGAGGATCGATTAAAAGTGAATAAGAACTAGATTTAGTTACAATTAAAGCATTCTGAACGGATAATTCATCGTTGGGTAATCCTTGCAGAGTCCATTCGGATATCTGAAAAAAAAAAAAAAAATTTTTTTAAATGAGTATGATTTATAACGTGGCTGAACAAATTAATTTAATACTTACTGTAGCGTTGTCCACGAGCATATTTGTTATGTTCAGATTTTGAGTAAAAGGTATGCAACGTTCCTGAAGGTGCGTCATCCACGAATTGACTAAATTCGAACGAAATTCTTGATTGTAGGGTCCGCAATACGATAGAAATCCAGTTGCAAGAAGTACATCTCCGACCAACCTTCCCAATTGAGCTTTAAATTCTTTACTTTGTTCAGTCCATCGAATTTTCTCACCGCCTAATCCATTTATTAGAGCAGTAGCCGCCGTCATTTTCCGCAAGCAAATGGAAGCTGCATCTGTCAACCTTTGTTTTTCCATTACGGCTGCATCGTATTGATCTTTTACCTGTTGTAAAGCTAATTCTCGATCTTCTAATTCTTTTTCGGCTCGAGACAAATCATCCATGGCTATTTTTAATCGTGCTTCTTGCAGAGATAAATTAGCCTAAAAAAAATCATAAAATTTATTACGGGAAAAATTTTTTTTTTGAGGAAAATGACTTACTTTTAAAGGCAAAACTTCTTTATTGACGCTGTGAAAAAAAGCCATAGCTTTCGTCCATGATAATAGTCCAGCAACGTCACCGCAAACTCTTTTGGCTGTATCCATATTATAATCTTCCATTTCGAAATAAGGCATTAAAAGTTCCACCATTTCATTATTAATTATATCTTTTGGATAATTTTGAAGTTGTAGTAAAAACGTCGTACTAGCCATCATTTTTAAAGATTCTGCCCACGAGGGTTTAGGACATGGACAACTTGCATCTCCAATAACGGCATGAAGTTTTCTTTGGAAAAGTATTAAAACGCAATCCATTATCCTCATAATTAAATGTGGTGGTCTACCAAGTTTTCTCACGGTTGCTAAAAAATTTCCCGAGTTAAATTGCAAAGTAAAAATTGGTTTTTAATCTTACTAAAAAAAAAAAAAAATTTATTCTACCAATGTGAGCCGGTTTAATTGTATTTAAAGCCGCTTCTGCTTCTTCCAATGCCGGTTTTGCTGCTTCTAACTTTTCTTCGGCCAAAGCTTTTTCACTAGCTATGTAAGCAACTAAAGCTTCTGCTTTTTCTTTGACTTTCATTACTTGATTTTTTACCGTTTCTGCTTGCATGGCTCTATCGGTCACTTCTGTCAGTACCTTTAAATAAATTTTTTTTTTTACTAGTTTTATCCATTTTTTTTTTTTAATTTCACTCAAAAACTCTTACTTACTCTTTCAGCTTTTTTCGAAGCATGAGCTAATTCTTGTTCCATTACAGCCAATTCTTTTTTTAAAATTTCAACCGATTTAGATGCTTCGTCTAATTTTCGTAAACCCGTTTCCATTCTTTGTGCTCCTTCTCCCAATTCTTGCTGTTTAGCTTGATAAATATTTTTATAACCTCCGATAAAATTTAAATATGATTTTGGAGTCACGTGAGTTGCTCGACGAAATCTAAAATTTTTTTTAAAAATTTTATTTAAAAAATTCAAAACCCGTAAACTTACGCAAAATTTACCTTTGAAAATATTCCGTTGATATTGAAGAAACGGCTCCTTGTATCGTACTTAAGGCATTGACAAGTTCTATTTTGACTTCGCTGGTACAAGCAATATCGAAATCCGTTAAGAAATGTTTAGCAACCAATCGTAGAGCTTCTGCTGGCCAAGGATGAAACCAATTAATTGTGCATCCCGATACGAGGGCAGGAAACCTTAATGCCCTCGTACGAAATTTTTCACCGACCTAAAAAAAAAAAAAAATTCAATTATTATTAAAAATTATAATTAAATATCGTTTATGTACGATTATAAAAAAAAAAAAAAAAAAAAAACCCACTGGAGAAAAACAAAGAACGACATGAAGATTCTGACAAGTTCGAAACAAAAAATATTCCATGATAATTTCAGTATTAAGACTTCTTTTAGGATTTTCACGTTTCATTATGGGTGTTAACTCCGATACTATTTCCTGTTGTTCGTCGCGATTAAATAAATTTGAAATGACACCTTAAAATTAAACGGCATGATATTATTTTATGTAAAAAAAAAAAAAAATAAATATCATTATTAAACAATTCAGTGAAATGATAAAAAATTTACCAGAAGATAAAATATTATTTAAATATTCAAGAAATCCTTCTTCTTTAATATCTAAATCGGTAAAAATAAAAGTTGTACCTTTTCCTTGGACCCCACAAGTTCGGTACAAAAATTTTAAATCTTCTAAAAAGTTTGTCGAATTGTAAGACCTCGTAAGAGTTATTTGAAATGTTTTGTAACTCGCTATAAAAGATGCTAATTTAGTCAATGATTGTTTTCCAGAACCACCAACTCCAACAAGCATTACGTTTCCTTTCGGATGACGTATCACTCTTGAAATCTAATAATTTTTATATTATTTTTTAATTTGAAACCGAAATTTAATTTATTTTACGTTTTTTTGTTGGTTACCCTGACAATGTGTAGCATGGCATCTGGAAAAAATACCAAATCCATTCCAGCACCTCGAACCATTTCATTAAATTGAGATAAAAACATGTCCAAACGTTCTTGTAATTCATTTAAATTAATAACCGGTTCGTAAACCTTCGGTAATTCCATATCGGCGTCTTCTCCTTCTTCACCCGTTGGCTCTGGAGCATCTCTTAAAAAAAAAAAAAAAAAAAAAAACAAATTGATCACCACCGTTCATTTTACAATATAAATATCAATTTATTTTTTTACCTCATAAAATCAACGAAAACAGGATTAATGTCTGCCATTTCTCTATATTCGACTCCGAGTTTGGTTTCGATAATTTTTGTCATCATTGAATCAAACCAATTTTTATCTTTTGATATGGTAAAACGATCAGAAAACACGCGACAGCATTCATGTTTCCATAATACCAAAAGAATTTTTTCAGAGTCGAAAACCGTGCTTAAAGTTCCAACCATTCCTTGCCAAACCCTGGATAATTCTCGGAGACTGAATACGTAATGAAATTTTGCCGGAGTCGGAAGAAGGAAAGCCTTTAAATTATTTTAAATTTGTTAGAATTTTTTTTTTAACTTATGACGTCAGTTTTGAAACTTACTCTAGTTTCCTGCCACAGCTCTCTCGTTAAGGGCACTAATTTTTTAACTAAATTTCTCACTTCGAGACTAAAACCACGTTTTGAATTATAATGACCTTCTCCAATAAGTTTAAATATTTTATCGATTGAACCGTCGCTCGGTATGGACACGTTAAACATGCAAAATTGTCTTTTTAATCTCGATGGAATATCATTCCTACCTCCACCTTTATGAAAAATAAACAGAAAGTTTGTTTTTTATACAAAAAACTGTTTAAAAAGCAGCAATCGATTAATTTAAAAAATTATATTGTATACTACCGGGTTGGCTCATGGCGGCTAAAAATTGCACATCCACTATCGATGTAAATTCTCCAGGTTTTTCCAAACTATAGAATCCTTTCATATCCATGACTTGTCGTAAAATTTCATTTGTTATTTGATCTCCCCATTCGTTAATTTGCGGAAGGTTAACGTCATCAATGAATACAATCATTTTTTTCCCATTTCCAGGACCGAAAGTATTTCCCATTCTCTTTTCTACAAAACTTTCAATAGTTTTCTAAAAATATATATAATTAAAAATTACATATAAAATTTAATAAATTAATAACAAAGTAATTTAGTGTTACCTGAAACTGATAAGGGCTGGTAGCAGAAGAAAAATTAAACGATCTTCCTATGAAATTTTCAGTACCAGCTCTTTTCATATAAGACTTGATCATAACCGTTTTTGCAGATCCCTGTTCACCCATTAATAAAACCGCTTTTCCTTGATGTGCTATTGTGTATATTAAAAATTCCATTCTTGTATTTTCAATTATGGGAACAAGTATGCTGCTGTAATCTGGAGTTGTACTTTCTGGATATTTATAGTCTTTAACGTTGCGACTCCAGTGTTCCCATTTCCCTAACGTAACGGAAATTGATTTTTTATTCTTTTTACGAAAAAAAATAAATAAATAAATAGAGTATTTTATAAAATTCCAACCATCAGAATTAACGACAAAATCAAAAACGGTAGCATCGGGATATAATCTCGAATTTGGCCAATCAAAAGACGTAAATTTTTCCCTAACAAATTTATTAAACTTGATGGCGCTTGGAGAATCCAAAAGAGCTCCCATTGACCAGGCTAATGAAAATAAAAATAATCTGTGCAAATGTTCGGGAGATAAATGTTTTTGAACTTCATTTTCGCCTTCTTCTTCTTCTTCTGCGGGTCCTTTTTTTGATATTTCCATATCAAGTAATTCTTCTGGATTAGGTTCATCGATTTGAACCGGTGCTAAACCTTCCAGTAAATCTATTAGCTTACATAAAAATATCATATTTATATTATTATTATCATCATTTCATTTTTATATATGAGTATGTAAAAAAAATATATACCTGAAGAATAACGTTACATTGAAGTACGGACATACACATTGTCAAATTTTGTGTGACGTAATTATGAGCAAGAGTAAATGATTCTTTGAATAGCGGTAAAAATACCTGAGATTCTTTTTTACTTCGAGTTTTTAACCAGGCTGCTAATACAGGTTCCCAATCTAATCCAGAAGAACTCATGTATACCTAAAAATAAAAAAAAATTTACAAAGTAGATTTAAAAAAAAAAAAAAACAAAACTTGTTATAATAGAAATTGAAAAATAATAACCATTCCATTTCTAGAAACGGTGGCTGGTGATGCATTATCAATATTATGAGGTTCGAAAATAATTTTACAATTTTGAGACATGGGGAGACGATCCCCGTTGGCTAACGTAAGAGTTTTGTTATCGTCCAAAACCGAATTAAGATTTTCTATCCAAATGCTGTCGACGGGACCATCCAAAACAAGCCAAATTTTATCCCCTTTTTTCATTTTTAAAGTTTTCCTCCACAAAGCCGAAAATATTCCATCCGTCCAATCATTTGTGGCTACGTCTAAACGACCAAACATCTGTGCAGCAGTTATGGCTTTCGGATTCATTCTCATTTCACGATGAGGATCTCCCATTTCAGATAAAGCTTGCATTAATGTGTGAATGCAAGTTGTTTTTCCAGCTCCGGTGGGGCCTAAAGTCATTATTCCATGACGAACTCGTTGTGTTTCGTACAGCTGCGAACAAAATTATATTTCTTTTCTTTACTATTTTTTGACAGAAAAAAAAAAAAGCATTTAAAAAAAAATTATAAACCTGAATGAGTTTTAACACCCAAGGAGGATGGTATATCAAACCGGCTTCTTCGACTTTTTTACTGATGGCATTTTCTAAATTGGGATAAATTGTTTTTTCTATGGACATATTTGGAAATAAATCAGCAACCAAAGACATAAACAAAGGTTCATCTTCATCAATTAATTTAGATAAATTCATATCTTTTAAAACTCTCATGACAATCGTGCTTTCGGAATCTTTCGAATTAACTCTTTTTGCCGCTCCTAAACTCCGAAGGACGGAAAGAATATTTCTTAATCCAAAATCATAATGAACTTGTTTAGTTAACTGCTCTTCGCAAAGTTTATAAAGTGTGTAAAATTTTCGAGCCAAAGTTATGTTTTCCAAAAAACCACAACTGGCTAGTTTTACACGAATGATTATTTGACGATCCGGTACCATCATTGCAACAGTTCGAAATTGAATTTTAAGATTTTCAGGTAATTCCTTTCTACCCGCATAACCTGGATTCTGAAAATAAAAAAAAAAAAAAATTTTTTTCCCCCTTCTTAATATATGGCTTTATAAATAAATAAATAATCTCACCATTGTAATAAATATTCCAAATTCGGGACAAAGATCGATTTGATCTCCGTCGGTAAAAATAAATGATTTCTTTTTTTCTTTTTTAGCACCTAAAACAACAGCAACTTGTTGTGCAGCAACAGATAACACAGGTAATTCAATACGATTAAATTCGTCAAAACATCCCCATGATCCTGATTGTGCAAGGCCTGGAAAAAAAAAAAAAAAAAGTTTTTATAGTGTTTCGTAAGTTTCGCAACTTAAAGTTTAAAATGTTTACCTTTGTAAATCCTTCCTAATCCTCGATAATCCATTTGATCCGAGCAATTAAAAACGACTACGTATTTAGCCAAAGTTTTACCCATATCTTTGACAGTTTCCGTTTTACCCGTTCCTGCTGGCCCACACGGACTTCCTCCCATACTCATAGCCAATGCTTGAGCCAAAGTAATATAACATCTGTAAGAAGTAGTTTCAATTAGAGAAAAACAATTTTTTTTGGTAACGTCATAAATTAAAAATTTACCTGTCCGTTAAAGGTGTTATAACTAATCTTTCGGTACAACCTAAATATTCGTTTTGATAAGCGAATGTCACATCGGTTATGGATATCCAAGTTTTATCAACGTCATCTTTAAAATAAAATCGTGATTGTTTTAACCATTCGAAATCATTTGGTGAACGTAAATTAATTCGACACTGTTAAATAATAATAATAATAATTATAATTACGATTATATTCCTTAAATTTACCTGCCAATTATTCTTACCAAAATGTCGAATATATCTCTTTGATGAACTTGAATAGTTATTAAAGTTTCAAATTTGATTCGGTCAATTTTAGTTAATTCTCTTGTCGTCTGATCTATAAGAGTATTTAACAAATCTAAAAATTTATTATTTGTTTCTGGCATCATTCTTTTATCTTGTCTTGCTTGCATCAAAGCCGTTTCCGCATCTCTGGTCCAAATCATTTGTATTCCTAAAATACCAACTTGAGCAGGCATTTTATCCAAGAATGAAAGCAAATTAAAATTAGAATCATTTATCATAGTATAAGCTGTTCTGATAATTGAATGAAGAGAAGATTGAGCTGTTTGAAGTAAATTCGTCAACCATGTTTCGACACTTCCTTCTGCTCTAACAGCACGCTCCAATGATATTTGTTCTCCCTCGGATGAAATAATAGCCGTCATTTTATTATACTCAATATCGTGAAATTTTACGTAACGAGTGTTATCGAATATAGATAGTAAATGATTTTGAATGGTGTGAGAATCGGATGCTTGACCGAGTATTTCCAATAATGCTGGATCCGATACGAAAAAAAATCGTGGAAACATCATTCTTTTTCTTTCAAGATACCTAAAATTAAAATTTATATTATTTAAATATTTTCCTTATGAAAAATAAATATTTCAAATATGTACCCGCTAAGTGATTTTTGGCATAATTCTAATTGCTCCTGTAAATGAGGCAAAAGTTGTTTAAGAAGATCATCACCGACGCAACAATTTACAACTCCTGGAGTTTCGTGTGCTCTTTGCATTATTTTTTGCCACGATTTATCGATTTTACTAAATCGTTTAGCTTCTTTCGGTAGTTGTTTTGCAATGTCACCGCCAACAAAAACAGCTTCTAAATAAACCCACATGTTTTGAACCAACAACCATCTTTCTAGGATGTCATTTGTATTGGATAAATCATAGACCCACTGTTGAATTTGTTTACGAAACGGAGCATTATATCTAAAAATTATTTTTTATTTAAGTTATTAACATTATGTAAAATAAATTCATAAAAAAGAACGTACCTGTTAGACATAAGAGATCCCAATACCATTAAACTATCTTCCAACTGACCTATGGTTTCCGCTGTTGTGTCACCTCTCAAAAGTAGTTCTCCACGATTATTGAATGTCATAAAAGTAAGTTCGTGAACACTCCATTCGCTCGTTACTTGACGAAGTTTAGCTTCTATATCTTTTTCTTTCATTGCGGATATACAAATGTCTTCAATATCTTCTTTATATTTAAGCAAAGGCGCTTCTAAAATATTTTTTAAACAAAATCCTTCGCTTTCTAAATCGAAAACAAAATTTGTAACTTCCATTATACGTTGCCAATGACGGGGTTTCATTGCTTTGTTAGCCATAAGTTCAAGTAAAGGACACATATCGTTGAAATCATCAATTGTACGTTTGAGTGCATGAAAAGCAGGCCATTCTTTAAGGCCTTTGGGAAGTTTGCGACACCTATTTTGAAATTCCATGAGCTCGTTGTTAATTTCTTCTATATTAACCTGTATTTTTTTTTTACCCAAATCAAAATTAATTTTATTAATCGAAAATGTTTTTATTTTTAAGGAATTTTATAAATTAACTAAAATCTTACTTCTCCCCACGGTATATCGTAATAACTGCTGACTCCGTCAATAACATCATTATATAATTTATAAAGTTTTTGAAGGAGGTTTAATTCTTTTCTTATCTGTGCTAATTCTGGATAATCAGTGGGTGGGAGTCCAAATAATTCTTCTCCGCTTTGATACGTCATTAATTTTCTCCACATTCCATCAAAACGATTTTGAAATAAAATTAATCTATCAGAAGCTTCTCTTGGAGTAAGACCGGGCATCATAGGTCCTGAAAAAAAAAAAATAAGAAATTTTCGTTAACTTGTAAACTTTAATTTCATTCCATAAATTTTTCCAACGAAAAATACCTGACGTTCTGTATTCGTGACAATAATCTATGTTGTCTTGTTTAAATGCATCTAAATTCCTTTTAAGGTCAGCTTCAAAAGTAGGTTGCATATTTAAAAGCGACACGTTAACTTCCAAAGCTCTATTTTGAAGCTTTTGCCATGTGTACCGTAGATTTTCAACAAGGTCAAGGGTACTTTGTTCCAGGGGTATTTCGTATCGTGCAACCACATTGAAAGCTTCTTCGATAGGATCTATTTTACGTTCCATATCGACTTCTTGCTCTCGTATTTTTTTCAAAGTATCCATTATTAATCTTACGTCATCAAGATCACGAATTTGTCTGTCTAATTTTCGATCAATTTCATTAATAACAGCATACACGTAATCCATTTCGCGACTATATTTTTTTTTCAACGCTTGTCCGATTCTGTGAGTGCAAGATTTAACTTCGGTTAATAAACCAAACTTGAGTCGATCTGAAAATTTTAAATTAGAATTAAAAATTTTAATTTATTATTTAAAGAAAAATTTATAATAAAAATTAAAATACCGGTTGATACAACCAAACACGATCCTAAATAAAACAAATCGTTTTCTATCGAAAGATTGCTTTCAAGTTCTCCATATTTTTGTAATAATGATTCAAAATTTTGTAGAGTCATAGTTAATAAATCCTTTCTGTTTGAATGATCGTTGGTCCATAATATTTTATAAGGATTCCATCTAGCCATGAATGTATTCATTTCTTTTTTTATGTCTTGAATGCATGTTGATAGGAGTGATAAAGTTTTAACAACTTCTTTATTTTCCATAACGTGATTGTAAAAATTTTTTTCCTGAGTGGGAAAAGGTGATTTTTCTTCTGAATGAAATTTATATAAACGTCTTCTACGTTCTTTTGGTGTTTCAACTTTAGACGAATCACATTCCTTCATTTTAGATTTTAAATCCAAATTTTGTTGTCCAGCTAATTTTTTCCAGCTACGTTTCTAAAAGTAAAAAATTAATGTTAGTAAGTTTACAAATGTGTTCCGAAAACAGTTAAAAAAAGATAAAGAAAAAACTAAAATTTACCCTATCGGGAGCTGCTTGTACTTTTCCTCCGGTCCATTGACCAACACCTTTTGAAACACTTGTTATGAATTTTCCAGCAGATATTAAAGCTTCTTGAATTTCTTCCAAAGTTGGCTTTATAGTGACATTAGGAATCATAAGAATAGCTTGTATTATAAATACGGGCTCTGGTTTTTTTCGAATCGGATGAGAGGGATCTTTAAATAACAGAGAATTAAAAAAATACTTCAGAAGAATTTCGTAAACATTAAATTATCGGTTTTACCTTGTAAATCCCCCGTATAAAAACGTTTTCGAAGACAATCTAAAGACTGACGAGTGACTTTAATAAGAACATCCACCACTTTTCTACTATAATAACGTCTCATTTCCGCAACGGCGTTTTTAACCATTTCTTGCATTCCTTTCGATAAACCTCCAGAAGAATTCACGAGAAGTGTTTGAGGATTTTCAAAACATTCCCAAATTAAAGACCAATCTTGTTGTTGCTGTTGTTGTTGTTGTTGTGAACCAACCGACGTTGGCGTATTTAAAGAAGTTTCATATTGACCAGATGCTGGAGAAGATTCTAAAAAATTTTTAATTTAAATACATAAACTAAATTTTTTTTTCTTTTCTCTTGATAAGAAAACCAGTTTTACCATCAAAATTAAAATCAAAATTAGTCGTTTCTCCTTTAAAATTTTCTCCAGCCTTTCTGACTAATTCCAAAACTTCTTCAACAGCTTCTTCCACCATCAAACTCCTTCGATTCAGTTCCAGTGCAACGCTTTGACAATGAGTCTTTGTTTTTCGTAGAAACTCTTCAACTGACCACGGTTCATCTTCCGGTAGGGAATAAAGTGTTATTTTTTGCATGCTACTTAAAACTTGTAGAATTCTGTTTGTATAGACGTCGTGAACTCTGTACATAAAAAATTTTCACTTAGTAATAAACAATAAACCATTTGATTAATTTTATCTTAACAAAATTGACTACCTTGTGACTAAAACATCAAAAGATTTAATGGCTTCCACTGTTTTTTTAATAAAATTTATCCATTGAGGATTAGACCATGATATTTCATTCAATCCAGGAGCTAACATGTTTGTCAATCTTACCAATTGTGGTAAAAATAACGGTCGAACTTCTAATTTTACTTTTCGTACCGTCGTAAGAAAATTATTTATAAGTTGCTAAAATATAATAATAAAAATCGTATAAAAAATCAAAATTTAAATAAGAATTATCATTATTATTTTGTCTCTTTTTTAACTCACCTGCAAAGAATCACTCACTAAAGTAAAATATTCTTTTTTAGAAAGTAAAGTTAATGTTACCGGCGGTATAGGTATATTCATTTTCATCAAACAATCAGCTTCTCTGATTAATGTTTTAATTCTAAAATCTAAATTTACTTGAAGTTTTCCAGATTCTGGATCGATTCCCAGTAAACGTTTTTGTAAACAATCATCAATAACCCAAACCTACAAAAAAAAAAAAAAACAAAATTTCAATTAAAATATTAAAAAAATTTGAATTGATTTTGTTTTATTTACCTCTTGAGTGATCCATATTTTTTTTATATCTTCCTCATAAGTTTTAAATATATTTGTTGCGCTGTTATATTTTCTTAAAACTTCGGATGCCTGTGGTAAACTTTTAAGCACAGAATGGGATGATACATTTTTAGCTAATTCTTCGACGCTCGCTTGAAGTGATCTTATCCATTTTATCCTACCGGATATCGGTGGAAAATGTCTCGGTAATGGAGGATTATCTTTTTCTTTACGAAAACGTTTCATTATATTATCAATTTCTTTTTCGCTATATTTTAAAACTCTTTCGTATTTTTCATCTAATTTCGTCAAAGGAATTTTAACGCTGACCTAAATAACAGTATACATGTAAAATATAATTAAATATTAATTAAATGTTTAAAATAAGAAAAAAAAAAAAAAACCTTTTCAAATCGAATTAAATATTTTATTCCGTGTGGCGTTTCCCAAACGCTATAAAAACTTTCTTCTATAAGAGTTGCTATATTTCCTTTAAGTTCATTAATCTTATCGATAAAAATATCTAAATCAGAATTAAATTCTAAATTTCGCTGATCTAAATAATCATAAGTTCTAGAACAAATTCCTTTTTTTGCTTCGTTAAATGTACTTATAGCTTTTTCTAAATCTTCGCCGAGAAGAAGGCCTGAAAAGTTACTTTTTATTTATTATTACGTTTATTTAAATCTTGAAAAAAAAGACATACAAACCTTCCATTCTTCTCTCCAATAGATAATTATAATCATCAATAAAATTAAACATGCTAATTATTTTACTTAATCTATCGCAGAAACCGTTAAATTTTCCAAAAACGTAATTTTCCGAAAAATTAAAAGCTATTTGATTTGGAATAAACGGTTGAGCTTTTACATTTTCGTATGTCGATCTATAAACTTTATTTAAACGAATGCAATGTTGAAGTTTTTGACGTACGTCGTTTCTTGCTTGACTCCATATTGTTTCGTTTCCTCTGTTTGTTATGTACTGTTTGCACGTTTCAATCATTTGATTCGTGATCTATAAAAAAATATAAAGAATAATTGAAGTCAATTGATAAATAAAAGAAGATTAAAATATGGAGAGAAAAAATTTACACTTACCTTTACCATGAGAGATGAAATTCTTTCTGATGTGTTATAAAATTGTGAAACACTGTGTATGAGACGAACAGTTTGTAACAGGCTCAATATTGTATCTTTCATTCTCACCGGATCATGAAGGTATAATGAGTGACAACATTTTTCCATGGCTTGAATAAATTTTGCATTGTTTCGAGCTTCGTTGTAACAATAAGTTATTTTTTTATCCGTTTCCCGCCATAATTTTATCGATTTCGAATGTGCTAAATTAAGAACAAGCAAAGACATTTTCACCTGAGAAAAATATTTTTTTTTTTATTAAAAAGTTAAAAAGTTGATTGATATTTGGTTATTTTTTTAAGTAGTTATAGTATAGTCAGTCACTTCGTGAGCTTGCAACTGTGCAACAATTTGAGAAAATCTTGCTCCTCTTTTTTTCCAATATTCAAGCTCATCTTGAGGTCCTCCTGAATCACTTTCTTTTCTAAGTTGTGTACTTTCCATTAAAACATCCGAAACTTTTTTCATCCAATTTTTAACTCTTTCTTCAAGTTGTGTTACCATATCTGGTTTTAAAGCCATTATTCTATTCATATTAAAAAAAAAAAATTAGAGGTAAATTAAAAGAATTAAATAAGTAAATTTTAATGTGTGCGATTACCTTCCTTCTTCATCGGATGTTACGCCCGACATTAAAATTTTACCATCTTCAAATAAATTTTCTTCATCGCAAACTTCTTCGCACACTTTAAGTGCACTACAAAATGATCGAAGGCCGGGCAATAAAGAATTTTTTACCATCGGACAATTACTATCTTCTTCATCTCCATCTAAAAAAAAATGAATACATAAATAGCTAAATAAAAAACATAACAAATAAAAATATAATAAATTAATTATAATTTAATAAAATTAAATAATACCGAACCGGGTGAAGGGTGTGCTAATGCCTCCATAAAAACATGTTCCATAATTCTTTCAACAGTTGTTACCAATCCAATTTTTTTAGCATCGATAACACCACAAAAAAGATCTTTGTGAAAACCTTCTTCTGGTAATTGTTTACCAGTGTTTAATCGAAACATGTAAATACAAATTCCAGTCAATGGTACACTCCAACCATCAGTTAAAAACAATTTTTTTTTTGGTGGTACTGCAGGTTTAGATTGTACAGCTGCTAAAAGACCCAACACACCACGAGATGATCCTGTTTTCATCTGAAAATCATTCCTATTTATATATCTTTTACTTATTTAAATTTCAATAAATTACAAAGTTTTCGAAAACAAACCAAGTTCCAAATCCTGTTGTGAAAGCATGTCACCGATGTGGTTTTATCAAGAGGTTGACATTTAAGCGCGGTCACATCTTGATAACACCACACAGGAAACAAGCATTAATATTATAATAACTTCTTCTTTTGGTAAAAAACCCAAAATTATGGAGGGAGGGGGGAAAGAAAGAAAAAAACATACCATATCCAAAGGTTGAGGTGGTTCTTGTTCTTCAATTTCTTGATAAAACCATATCAACTTATTTCTCATGTGTGGAAGAAATAATTGATTTATTTCATCCAACTAAATAAAATAATGATAAATAAATAAGTAAATAAAACTAAAATTATTAATAACTAATACCAAATTGATCATACCATATTACATTCAAAAACATTATCCATAATTTCATTCCTAGGTAATCCAGTTGCATCTATCAATAATTGGAAAGTAAATTCCAATCGGGGATCCATTTCCCCCCTTCTTGCTTTTCTTTCGCATTCTTCTCTTCTTTTCTAGAAAAACAATTACAGTATTAGGATCACTATTAAAATTTCATTTTAAAAAAAAATTATGTATTTGCACCTGGATTACTACACCATCAGATCCAATTTCAAAATTGTCTTCATCATCTGAATCTTCAACACAAATACGTGGTCCGAGAACAAACATTTTTTTTATTATGTAATAAACAGTAAGACAATCGAATTAACACTAACCGACAAACAGTTTTTTATAGAAAATTTCAATGAATCCATTAACATTTGATAAAATACATAAGTTAAACATTTGAAATAAATAAAATAAGTGAAAAAATTCAACGGTTTTAATTCTAAGAAGAATAAATTAAGGGTTGAAAATATATAATATAACTGACTTTTAAAAATATTTTAAAATTTTAAACACGACACGAAAAACATTTATTGCCAGGAAGAGTTTAAAATTTCCTAGATAAAAGATAAAAACCTTTTTTTTTTTTATTCTTCTTTTGCTAGATAAAAATAATTTTTTCTTGCTTAAAACAACCGATTCAGCAAAAATTCTTTTTAGCGGTTTGTTTTTATACTCAAATAGATTGTTTTTGTTTTTTTTAATTGTTAACAACAAAATTTCAACTTCGAAGTAATTTAAGAAATTATTTCATCACACAAAAAGAAAAAGAAAAAAAAACCAAGCACAATTAACACAACGAGTTAAAAAAATGAAAAAACCGTTAACGGTTTTTTTTGGAATTAAATTAAAAATGGCCGCCTTGTAGAATATGCTTATTCCTTTCTAATTATTATCTTTTCGTTTTGAAAAAAAAAAAAAAAAAAAAAAAAACAACTTGTACATTATAAAATAAAATGAATTTATCGAAAAATTTTTAATTAAACGATAGCAGAAGACAAAATTAAGTTAATTTCCTCTAAAAAAAAGTTAAATATTTGTACGTTTTTTTTCCCCTCCGTTAATAATTCCGTTTGAAAAACCGCTTAAAAATTATAGCGTCGCCATGTTTAAATTATTTAAAACTTACCTTATTGTGTTCGTCCAAAGTTGCCATTTTATATATTTTAATTTCCTTTTTTTATTTAAATCATCGAAATTTAAAAAATTTTTTTAAGAATAATTTCTACGTTTGGTGGGAAAAATCAAAATGAAGTAAAAAAAAAGACAAGAGACAACGTAACTACATCAAGATCATATTTCTTCTCAACGTTCTTTTTTTTTGCTTATAAGATATTAAATTAATATTCAAGGGATGTTCAATAATTAACGTTATTTGATTACCCTTTCAAATTTACATTTTTACAAGAATAAATAAGAAAATAATCGGAAACGATTAATTACTTTGCATTTTTGCAATAAACGATTAAAAAATTAATAAATAAGTGAGAAAAAATTAAAGGGATTTAAATATAAAAATTTGTAAAAGTTATACAAATACTTTTTGAAAATGCCTTTGTGTATAATATTGTATTTGGTCGTGTCACTAAGAAACAGGAACGATACAATAAATATTATAAATTTTGGAATAATTTTTTAAATTAATGCAACAATTACTTATGAAAAAAAAAAAAACAACAACAACAACAACAATTTTTTATTTTTATATAAGAATGAAAATATTTTTTTTAGGCGCGTTAAAAAAAAAATTGCGAATTTCGTTAAAAAAATCTCAAATGTTAATATATATAATCTTAGATAATCTTAAAAAGTTATATAATTAAAATTAACTACCCTGAGATTATTAAACTGACGTGAAATATGAAGTTTTGATTGGGAAAATATAATTAATTATTAAATTAATTACCTTTCAGTACGGATTTTTTTCATTTTTAATTGATAATAATAATTATCATTATCGATTTTTTATATTCGTTTTGCTTTAATGAAATTTAATTTTAAAAAAAATGTTTTTGTATACGTAGGCTTTTTGCCGTACGTGAATGTACGACAATTTGCATAACTACAAAAATACAATTTTTAACGAAATGTAAAAAGAAAATGAATTGATTGGGTAGGAAAATGTGATGATTGATTATTAATAAATCAATAAATCGATAATGATATTATTCAATTTGATAAGAAAAAGCATTGTAAATTAAAAATTTTAAGTGATTATGCTAAAATAATTGATAATAATCACTAATTTTATACTTGAGACTGAAAAGAAATTAAAAAATTTTATGAATTTGTTTAAAAATTATGAATCGTTTGTGATTGTTCGTTTAAAAGAAAAATAATAATAATAATAATTATACGCATTTTATTCAATGCGTTATACTTATTTTATTGTTCTTACCATTTTTCAAGATTATATAAGTGGCGATTGAAAATTATGTTGAGAACATCTGTAAAAAATTAAAATAAATAATTATTTTTATAAAGACGTTGAAAATTTTAATTATAATTATTTTAAAATTGAATTGTTATAAAGAAATTTCAGTTTTAAATTTTATAAATCAAATATTTGATTATAAAATAAGGCAAAAAAAAGATTTTCTATATCTGTGTCAATGAAAAAATCAATAATTAAAAAAAAAGGGGAAAAAAAAGTAAAATGAAACAATGTTTGGGAATGTTTGGGTTTGGATATCTTGATTTTGGAGATTGGTACGATTTTCACCGACATTTTTTTTTATTCAAAAAACTTTTTTCCTTTTATTTTGATAGGAAAAAAAAAAAAACAAAAACGAATGATTAAAATGAAACGAATACGTAAAAGTATAAAAAAAATTTTTTTTTTTTGAATTTTATTCAAACGTAATTTTATGTGTCATTTTTTGTTTTTGTTTTTTTTTTTTTTTTAAGCGTAAATTTATTTTCTTCAAAAAATAAAAATAAATTCAAGTTTTCATTGTAAAAAGGGAATAGTATTTTTTTTAAAAATCAAAATGGAATCAAAAGAAAAAAAAAAAAAAACTTAAATTGCAAAAATATTTTTTACAAAACAAATAAAAATACAATCAAATTGTTTACTTTTTTAGTTACATTTCTTATCAATAGAGGACTCTAAATTACAAAAAAAAATTCCTGTCGGAACTTAATGGAACTTTTATCACTTGTTATTTACGCATATCGTCAATAGATGTCTCTGCTTTAAAAAAACAATTTAGTAGAAAAAAAAAATTTTATTAATTTTTAAATTAAAACTTTGTTTTTCTTTTATTATATATTAATTAATTATATAAAATGAAGAAAATAATAACTAAATTAAAACCCAGAATAGAAAAAACAAGAAATACCCAAACAAAAATCAAATCAAAAACCGATAGAAATCCAAAAAGCCATTTTTTTATCAGAGACTCAATAATCAACCAATCAGAAAAAAGAATTTTTTTTAAATCGAAAAAAAAACCGAAACGATTTCCATTAAAAAATAAGAAATCATTTTTACATAATCGAAACATAAAATTCAAAATATATAAAAAACCGTTAAAAAATTTATTTATTCATATCGAAAACACAATTTTTATTTAAAAAAAAAAAAAAAACAGGAAAAACTTACCGCCGATTATTATTAACACAAAAAGTTAATAATGATGAAAACACACGTTTAACAAACGAATAAGTAAAAATTACAACAACAACAACCCTTTCTCTCTCTCTCTCTCTCTCGAAAAAAAAAGAAATTTTTCTTCCTTTTACCGCAATCTTAATAACCACTGCAACGAAAAAAAAAAAAAAAAAAACTTTTTAAATTAGTATTACAAAACTCCTTACGTAAAAAAAAGAGAGAGAGAAAAAAAAAATTTTTTTAATTTAACATTTGTTTTAATATTTTTTTTCTCTCTCACGCACACACACACACACACACACACACATACACTAAACTGTATTAATGTACAAATTCGTAATAATAATAATAATAATAATAATAATAATAATAAAAAGTTTTAAAAATTTTGTCGTCTGCAATCACGCGATGTAATTTTTTCAACAAAAAAAACTTTTCCGTAAACGGTCACCGTCATCACGTTTTAAATTTTCTATTAAATAATAATAATAATAAAAACCATAAGCTAACACTTATCAATAATAATAATAATAATTTTAAAATTTTGTTATTAAGTATACGATAGATAATAAAAATGAAACCCCTTTCTCTCTTTCTCTCTCTCATGTTTTTTTGATTTGATTCGGGTGGAGAAAACAAGTGAAACTGACAAGATTCAGGGATTGTGGGAGGGAGGGGTAGTAAATGAAGGGGATCTAACGGTGCCAATGGGAACCTGAAACCATCAATCACATTTTCTATACCGCACTCTCAAACTCTATGGGTCCCCCCCCTCTCTCTTTCTCTAATTCATGATTGATTACATCAAACGCCCATCATTTTTTCTTTTAATTTATTTTATTGGTCTTCAAACGTTTCTCTCTCTCTCCATTTTTTTTTTTTCATTTATTCTCTCGTCGTTTTAATTATCAAATAAATTTCTCTAAAAAAAAATGATAATAAATTGTTTTTAATTATCCTACCCCCTCACCACCACCACAACCCTGCCCCCAAAAAAAAAATTTATTTGTCACATAAATTATGAACACGTACACGACGTACCTAGAATCGATTTAATGAATAAAATTAATAAAAAAAAACGCAAATTAAAACGCTGCGTTTACGCGTAGCAAATTTCTGTATGAAAATTAATAATAATGATAATAATAATAATTACCGGAAAAACGTCACGTTTTCGTTTTTTTTATTTGCTTTCCCTTCTTCATCCATTCTTCTCCATACTTTTCCAAAATGACATTTTTTTTTTTTTTTTTTATTGATCATTATCGATTATTCTTCCAAAATCCAATAATCCGTCGTTATCGTCGTTCAGGTACGAAAAAAATAATAATAATAATAATAATAAAAATCAAAATGGCGTCCACGTTAACTTAATATTCCATTTATTTCTAAATCGTTTTCACTTTTTTTTTTTTTTTAAATAAAAATCAAACCAATTTTTATTTACTAACTTAAAATTTATTCTAACGATTAAATCAATCAATCAATCAGCCAACAAACAAACAAACAAACAAACAAAATTTTCTTACACAAAAAGGATTAACAATATAAAAAAAAAAAAAAAATGATGATGATGAAAAATGTGATGGAAAAAAAAAAAATTCACTCGCGAATGCAACGAAACAATCGATATTACGTAATAATAAACAACAACGACAAACAACAACAACAGCAACCACGATTAATAAATAACGATAATAATAATAATAATATAAAAATATAGATATATATGTTTATATAAATTTTATAGTTTTTGTTTAAACAAACGATGCGCTATAAAAAAAAAAAAATTTTCAATTGATTAAAAGTTAATGAATGATAAAAAGGTAAGACAGGACAGAATCGTTTGTTGATCGACGGCAGTAGAAGGCTCGCATGTAAATTAATAAAGGGTTGTGTGGGGGGTGCGTGGGGGGGGGTAGGAGAATTTTTCACATTTTACTCTGCCACTGAGCACCGAATCCAGCAGCAGTATCAGAATCCGAATCCTGTTGTTCGTAATTTTCAACGCTTCCCACGCTTATGGTGCTCGATCTGTGCTGGACAGGAGTCGTCGGAGTGCTTCTGCTGTGAGCGTAATCGACTTCCCGTTTTGATTTTCTCTTTTTTATAGCTCCCGATTTGGGGGGTTGCATTAATTTTTTATCGTTCTGAAACGAAATTAATTCACACAAAAAAATCATTTTCGTTACCTTACCGGCGGTAGCAGCGGCAACAGCATCAGCAGCAGCAACTCTACTCACTTCGTGTACGTTATCTGCGGATCCCCAAGACTTCAACAATTTATCGCTGCTTTGACCCCCTAGAAAATAATTACTGAACGCTTCCGTCGTCCTCTTCACTCGAACATTCAGAGAACCAATTCTCAAAAACCCGGATTCTTTTTCTACGTATTTTTTTCGCGCTTTGATTTCTGTAATAATTCACAAAAAAAACATTCCTGAATTTTTTTTTCTTTTTTCTTTTTTAAATTAATTCTTTTCCTTACCTCTTTTTACTCACCCCTCGAACGTCATTAAAAAAAAGAAAAGAAAGAAAAAAAAAACCGAAAAAGAAAAAATTTACTAATTTTCCTTACCAACAATCGTAGTAATCATAATAATCATAGAAAATTATTATTATTATTTTAATCTTCTTTCACCTTTTAATAATGAAAATTATCATCATCATTATCATTATTATTATTATTAGTTTTACGTTAGTTTTTAATTTTTTCCATGCACGTGAAAAGAAAGAAAAGAAAAATCAATAAATCGTTATTTAACAAAAGAAAAAGATAGAGTTCGTTTTAGCATTTTTTTTTTTATATTTTTGGGGGGAGGCGGGGAGGGGGACGGGTCGGGGAAGGGAGGGAAGAGGAGTGGGTCAAACGTCACAACACATAAAAGTTAAAATTAGAAAATTTTTTAGTGTAAATACTCCTCGAAAAAATTTTATATTTTGAAAAAAGAAAAAAAAAGAAAACCAAAGTAAAATCAAATTAACATTAAAAATCGTGTAATTAATTATATTTGAAAACTTTGAACATTCTAATTGCACTTTAAATATAATTATTGACCCGTTCTTTTGTTTTCTACTTCACTACATAAGCGATTAAACTAAAACTAAACTACGCGAAATCAAAACAAGCAACAAACAAACTCAAAAACACGATCGCGCAAAGGGAAAAAACGATTTTTTTTTTTCTGACGTGGACGTAGAAGAATAACCGACAACATTTAATTACGAAAGGTGAAAAACAACGTGACACGTTTACTGACACGCAAATGGAAAAACAAAAACAAAAAAAAAACGATTACAATGAATCCCAACCTACGGTTAAAAGCAAAAACGAAAAAAAAATGATGTATCTGGTTCAACGATGGATCCATTCATTGATCGATCTCTCAATCAATCAATCAATCAATAGATGAATTAATAGAAAAACCGGAAAAACAAGTTTAAAAAAAAAAAATTAAATTAAATTAAATTAAATTAATTGAATCAAAAGGTTTTACATATTTTAAATGAAAGGTTTCGTTGACGGTCCAAATTAAAAAATGCAAAAAAAAAATTTTTTTTAAGCAAAAAGGGAGAGAGAAAGGGAGACAGAGAGAAAAGGGGCGGCAGAGAGAGAGAGAGAGAGAGAGAAAAGGAAAAAAAAGGATATATACATAAACTAAAATTAATAAATAAAGGGAAAAATTAAAAAAAAAAAAATTAGGTAACACGAGGGGGTAGAAAGAAGACGAGAAAAGGGTTGAAAATGTGCAAAACGTGCAAATAAAAAAAGATTTCACTTGGGGGAGGGAGGAAGAGAAAGGGGGAGGAAGGGGGTAAAGTTAAAATATTAAATTTTTTTATGTGAATCGATTTTTAAATTTATTAAAAAAATTGCATCGACGTGTCAAAAGAAAAGAAAAAAAATAAATTAAACGGAGCCCTGAATAAAACCTTTTTTTTTTTCCTCACTCACTCTTACACTTTCTCTCCTTTCCTTTCAAACACATTCGGTCCTCTCTCTCTCTCTGTCTCTCTCTCTTTCTTTCTTTATCCATTCATCTATCTATCTATCTTTCTGTCCAGTCATACAAATACATCTAAAAATTTCTCTTTTTATTTTTTTTTGTTCACCCAACACTAAAAAAAACCAAAAAGAAAAACGAACTGTTGCCATTGTGCTAATTATTTAGTTTTTTTCCGACGGCAACAAGACGAAAAATTATTTTTATTCCCATTCCCACTACCGATTTCTATTAAAAGAAAAATTAAAAAATTAAACGAAAAAAAACAAATAATAATAATAATTATAAGCATTCCGACAACTGTTTTTTTTTTTTTAAATTAAACCTTTTCAAAAAATGAAGTAGAAATTAAAAAATTCAATATGGCCGACGGTCTACCGTTCAGTAAATAATTACAAACACAAAATTTTACAACAACGTAACGTAAATTCAGGGAAATTCTTTGAATTTTTCCTTTTTCTCATGTAAGTCACGTAACTTTTTTCCTTTGCCAAAAAGAAAAAGCAACAACAACAACAAAAGAAAATTAAAACGAATTAAATCATGCAAATCAAAAAATCTATTTAAAAAAACGAAAACGAAAACTTTGACTTGCCTTCGGGATATCATTTTTTTATATCCTAAAAAAAAAAAAAAAGAAAAACTTTAAGTCCCCTTCATAGGAAAATAAAAGAAACCCCCCCGCGAAAAGTCATCGGGGACGATCGATCGAACAAAAATGACCGTCCCAAACATTAAAAAAAAAAAAAAACCGTTAAACGAAAATCAAAAAGGAAAAAAAAGGAAATAAAAAAAAGCAAAACGAAAACAAAACAAAAAAGAAAGAAAGAAAGAAAGCGGAAAAGCAGAAGACGTCGAAAAGAAAATCACCGCCACCGTGAATAAAAAGCTCTTTTTTTTTTTTTTTTTTTTAATTTCATTCTTTTCCTCCTTTTATCCGCCTCTTTTCCTTTTTTCTTTTCGTCACTTTAGAGTGGCAAAATTATAACTTTGTGAAGATGATAAAAATAATCTGGAACGAGGCGGATTAAAGGATTTTCTCACTACCGAATCTTTTGATTTTTTCAATCTTTGATAATCGGATGCTCTTCTCAGGAGAACAATCGAAGGTTTCGACATGTGTCTCGGAAGTGTTTGCGACTTACTTCTAAACGTGTCAGCAGATACCGAAGTGTCCATGTTGGCCCGATACTGCCTCGGTTTTTTCCCACTCCAATCTCTCAAATTTTGATCGGCCGCTGTAAAAATAATAATAATAATAATAATACCAATTCCGTCATTTATCACCAACCATTTTGTTACTACTCCACCAACCCATTTCATCCAACCGAAAAATCGATTTGCGACGAGAATTTTTAAATAAATAATTAATTAAAAAAAGAAACCGGAAATGAAGGGGAAAAAGTTAAAAACTTACCGTAAACTTGAACCAACAAATCGAATATTTCTTCGTGTTCGTATTGCATAGCCAAATGAAGAGGCGTATAACCCTAAAAAAAAAACAAATGATAATAATAATAATAATAATAAATTTTTGAAAAAAAAACTACGAGAGTTACTCGTGACACGTCAACTCAAAAAATTTTCTTGTGACACTGCAAAACGAGACGTTTCTTCAAAATCCAGACGAAACCATCGAACTTCTCAACATTTTCTCGCACAATTGCATACGCGTATTCGTGCGTGCGAACGCGCGTACATGCGTTTAATGCCCGTAATTATTATATTCTTTTGTTAAACATACGCGATTTCAAATGCATATGTTACTCCCTCCCCCTCCTACTCCTCCCTCCCCTCTCCCTCCCTCGTCACTCCTTTTTCTCCTTTTACATTCGTCGTCATCGTCTTTGTTTGTTTCATTCCCGATGATATCTTCATCATCGTTTCAATACCCCGTCATTATACTAAACCTTTCAAATTTTGTTCTTGTTCTTCCTTTTCTCTTCACTACCTTCCTTTAAACTTTCTTTTATTTTTTTCTCCTATTTTCTCTATGATTTTCAACAGACTATTTTATTCGGAGACACGAACGTGATAACGAGTCAAACAAAACGGAAAAAAATTTCGCGACGCGTTTAAAAAAAAATTATTACGACTACGACCCGTCGAAAAATCTATGAGGTTCGCATTGTACGTGAAACCGTTCGCGTCGTCCGTTCGAACGTTTTAGAATTTATACAGAAAACACAAAAATAATAACGTGATTAATAAATAAATAAATACCGCCGACCCACTCACGTTTGACGCTATAAAAATTTCTTCGAAAGGCATCATTAAGTAAAAATAATAATAATATTATTATTGATATGGCGTGAGTGCGTGCGTGCGTGCGTGTACAAATGTATATATATATATATATATATATATATATATATATATATATATATATCAAAAAAAATTACATTCGAAATTAAAATAAAATAAAAAAAAAACATGGCACAGCTGTCGGCCCGACGATTCAAAATGTCATTTTCAATATATGTAATATAAATAAAAATGTGCGTACGTATGTGCGTGCTTGTATGCGAGTGTTTGAGGTATCCTGACTTTAAAATTGAAAAAAAAAAAAAAAAAAGGAAGTTAATGTGAATTTATATAACGGTGACGACGAGAACGGGAGGAGAAGCAACAGCAGAAGCAGCAGCGACAGCAGCAGAGGCGACGACGGCGAAATTTTTTTTTCTCTTTTTTTTTCCTCCTCCTCCTTCTCCTCCTTCTCCTCTTCGTCTTCTTCACCCACCCTCTTTTGTATTTTTCTTTTTTTTCTTTTCTTTTTTTTCTTTTTTTTTTTTTTTTTTGCCTCCCTCTTTGTTTTCATTGTTCTTACGTCTTTTTCAATACGGCAATAAGTCACATTTTTTCGTAGGGGTCATCCCGTCTGGACACTTTCATCCCTTTTAAGAACCTTTTTTTTCACTTTTTCCTTTTTTTTATTTCATTATTATTATTATTATCACATATATATATATTTTTTAATTTTGCGAACCGCGATTTCGTTATAGGGAACGACGAATGACGACAGAGGGAATGAAAATTTTTTAAATTTAAAGGGCTGTCGTGTCATGGAAGGGGAGGGGGGTCAATCGTCGCAAGGGTGCGAACACAAAAAAAATTTTTTTTTTTTTCATTTCGTCCTCCTCCTCCTCTCGCTTACTCACACCCACAACCTGAATGGAAAAACTTTATTTAAAAAAAAAAATAAAAAATTTTCACTTACCCCGTTCTGTCATCGTCGTCGACATTTTTTTTTCCAAAAAAAAGAACAGAAGCAACATGGCGACGCACCGGAAAAAGAAAATAAAATAATTAAAACAATTTAATAAAATTTCATTGATAAAATGATAATAGAAAATAATTTTTTTTTTTTCTACGTTTCATTCTGGAAATTTCTAATGACACGTGCGCACACACGTTTCCATTCGACCACCGCAAAGTTCACGACTTAAAACAAAAAAAAATCATCGGATCTGACAATAAAACAAACCTGACCGCGTCAGGTTCGTTCATTTTTCTCAAGCAAAATCATTACTTTATCATTTATCAATAACCCCTACGACAAACTTGAACACGTCATCAGACAAAAAAAATCATGTCGCGAAACTGATGGTGTGACGGCCCCCCCAAAAAAAAAAAAAAATTCGGATTCTGACGTCATAACTCCCCACAATTTATTAGAATATTAAGGTTACTTCTTTAACGGTTCCTTCCCGCCCACCTTTCCGGGGTGAATTTTCAAATGTCTTCCGCACGGGGGGAGGGAGGGGAGTTAACTAACTATACTACGAAAGGAGACACGTAAAACTCGTGACGAGGAAATTTTCTCTACGTTTTTCACCAAAAGTGTAAGTCACTCGCTCTAAACCACCGTAGACGTTCGGTGGTGACACGATCGACATCGATGACGAATAACCATCATCATCATCATCATTATTATTATTATTACCACGTTATTCTATATTGGTAATTTGATAATGTTTTGAAGTTAAAACACACGATTTGATTTTTAATTTTTCCTCGATTGCGTCACAAGTTTAATAACAATAATAATAACGAGACGTGAAAAAAAAAAAGGTTTTGGAAACGTGGATCGCACGTGGACGACTCGCGAACGTGATGTTGTTAATACCGACGACGAGATTCAAATATTAATAATAATAATAATTTATAGTAAAATTTTTTTTTCAACTAACCGTTCTTACGTTCGGATTTAACTTGTACGTTCCCGCTATCAATTTCACGAGGTTTTCGTTACCGTGTTTTGCTGCCCAATGCAAAGCCGTCTGAAAATAAAAGAAAAATTTTTAATCGACAATCAAGTACGGATGAAAAATCGATTTTTCTAGACAATTCTAGGCAAAACGAACAACCTGATCTGACATAATTGTATTCAATGACTACCCCTACTAAGGAATTAACCCTTTTCTTCACCTTTTGTCCTTTTTCTTTTTAGAAAAAAAAAAAAATTCTTCAATATTATTAAACATTATAGTTAAAGATTAACTTAGGTGCGGCACGAGGATGAAATGATGATGATGATGTAATTATAAACGTTTTGAATAATTACGACGTGATTATGTACAAAATTTTATTTAATACGACTCTTTTTTTTTCTTTTTTCCTTTTTTTTTTTTTTGTCTTCGTTTCCCTCCATGAATTTTAAAAAGTTCACGACTTTTTTTTTTTTTTTTTTTTTTTTTTTTTCTAAACAGCACGCGCGCCTTTTATTTCTATATCACGAAAAAAAAAAAAAAAAATACGATCACGATTAATGGGGATTGAAATCACACATCGCAAAGAATAAAAATAATAATAATAATAAAATTTATATTAATAACAGCCACAACTTCGTCGTCGTCGTCGATCGCAATAATAATAATAATAATAATGAATTGTTTTGATAGTTCACACCCATCGAAAACCGCGGTTTTTCCATCATTGCAACGCGAAAAAAAAAAATTTTTAAATCAAAACGTTACGATCATCATCATCATCATCATCGTTACCGATATTACTACATTTAATATAAAAATTTAATCGTGCGAACTCAAATGAAAAAATTACAATAAACCCATGCGAATTCTAAAGACTAAAAGAGAGAGAGAGAGAGAGAGAGATAGGGAAACCGCGCCGATAAAAATCTCTGGAGGAAAAAGAGAGAGAGAGAAAAAAAATAGATAAAAGGTATTTGCTTCCTTCTTCCGATTGAAATTCGGTTAATTAAACCTTAAACCATAAAACCCAAATCTTCAAAGAAAAAAAAAACGACAAACAACAACAACAATCCTAGTCAATGAACGAAAAAAACTACTTGAAGAACAAAACGGCATTTTTCGCCGGCGAATGATGTTAAAAAAAAAAATTGATAAATGGTATCAATGAATGAAACCTTTTTCAACGGTCGAAAAAATCAATTGAATCAATTATCGATCATTGCGCCCGGGGGGGGGGGAATAAGAAAAAAGAAAAATTGAAAACGAAACCGACCCGCAAACAACAATGACGGTAATTTTTTTTTTTTTTTTTTTTTTAATCTCATTAAAAAATTACACAACGAACCGCCGCCACCGCCCCCACCACCACCACCACCACCTCCGCCATCGCCCCCCACTATCACGGATGGTTTACAACGAACGATTAAATCAACAGCAAATCGACCGTTAACGTATACTCGTCGTTTCGGCAACCATCAAAAAGATTTCCGATTCTCACGTGAAAAAAAAAAGAGAGAGAGAGAGAGAGAGAGAGAGAAACGGGGAGCCCTTAGAGAAGGAAAAACTATTAGAATATTTAAAAAGGGGGCGATTTTCGCACGCTAACAGGAAATCGCATTCCAATTTAAAAAAAAAAAACAAAAAGAAAACATTAAATTAGTTTTTTTTTTTTTTTAAATGAATGTTTTGTGTTTTGTGTTTGTGTTTTTATAAAATTTCCATTGTTTATGTTTTCAATGATAATTAATTAATTTTAAACTCCACGGCGTAATGATAATAATAATCACGAGAATGTATGTAATTAATGTGAAAGGTTTCATGATGTCCGACTTCTTCGTTTGTTTCTTTGTGACCAAAAAACAAAAACAATTCTTTTTTTAATTACCAGACGACGTTTCCGTCCCGCACACGCGGTCGGTCGGTCACAATCCCTGACGTTAAACAATAATAATAATAATAATAATAGAATCGAAAAAGTTTGGAAAAATCGAAATTCGCCGTCATAATTATCCAATTAATTCTACCAATGTAAAAAATGAATCGCCGATCTCTCTCTCTCTTTCTCGATTTCGATACAAAAATATAGATGAAAAGAGAGAGAGAGAGAGAGAAGAGGATATAATAAAAAAAGAAGAAAATCTAGATAAAATGGCGATGCGATACAACCACACACACACGAATAAAATAAACATAAATAGAAAGTTTATAATAATAAATAAACAAATAACGTTTGAAGTCGGACCATAAGTCAACGCCTTTTAAAAAATTGCCCTAAGAGCGCCGAAATCGAATCTACGAAGAGAGAGAGAAAGAGGAAAAGAAAAAGAAAAATATTCGATTTCGCCGTCGCTTTCTGGTCCTCCACCCCACCCCCCCCCACAGAATACCCGATGTCAACGTTTGTTTGTTTGTTTTCAAAATACGAATTATGACCGGTATA